CATCGACCTGCCTACCTACCCCCACCCCCCTCCCCCTCCACGCACACCCAAGCCCCCCCCTACCCCACCACACACACACACACACACACATACCGCTGCAGGGCATCATCATCCTGGTCGAGGTTCATGAGCTCGTCGAGATCCTTCTTCTCGCCAACCTTGTACCCGGTGCCGTCGTCGTCCTCGGCAACGTCGTCGCCTACAACGGGGTCCTGCTCAGGGTCGGCCATGTTTTGCTACGCGGTGGTTGATAGTCAAATGTTGAATGGTTCGCAAGCTGGTGGGTCATGCTTGGCAGGCGACGAGTCATGGGCTTGCTTCTCGAGGAATGCTGCACCAGTACCGCACGGTGAGGGGGTAGGGCGAGGGCAAGGCTCGACGCTGGATCATGCTTGCATTTATGCGGCATCGGGGAGTGCTCTCTAGTCTCGGTTGTGCAAAAAGACAAAGGAGAAGAGGAAGAAGCAGCCCATCATGGAAAAGGCCGAGGTGTAGTAGGGCCAGGCCTGGGTAATGAACCGCTCAAACTCGTTGTGGCGGAAGGGACGGACGACCACCTGCTCGGCATAGAGCAGCGACGAATAGCCGTGGCGGCGGTAGGTGAGCTTGAACTGGAAAACACCGTAGACGTCCGGGACCTTGAAGGCGCCAACGTAGTGGCCGGCCGAGTCGTGGGTCATGGTAAGGCGGACGTACGGGTCAAGCATCTGGAACTCGATCTGGACATCGGACGCGGTGTACGGCTGCCAGGCTGTGCCGGTCCACTCCTCGATGGTGGTGTGGAACTCGATGTCGTCCTTGACACGGTAAACCGAGCCCTGGACCTTGTCGGCGTCGCCGGTCTTGTAGTGGTGGGTGTTGGAGAGCCGGAGCATGCCGCGCTCCTGGAACGCCCAAGCCGTGAGCCGGAGTGCAAACTCGAGGTTGCCCGAGGCCACGCCCGACGGAGCGCCCGAGGCCTTGGTCACGGTCGCCGAGATAAAGGCGTCGGAAAAGAGCTCGATCGAGCCCGAGACCACCATCCGCGCGTTGTTGCGCGCTTGAAGCGCAGTGACAAGCGCAGTCGTGGCGCCGACGGTCAGTGGGGTCTCCACAGTCTGCGACGGGACGTGCGAGTAGGCAAAGGCCGAGCCAGAGAGCACCTCGAGCACGAGGCCCTCGTCGTCGCCAGCGCCGAGCACTGCATGTCCGATGCCGCGGAAGAGAACCGGATTGAGCTCGGTAGTGCCAAGAACAGCCTCGGCGGCGAGGCCAAAGCCATCGGCAGCAATGAGTGTGTGCGGGCCATCGGCGTCCGAGGCGTCAAAGTTGACGTGGTCGAGCACATACGAGTCCTGCTCGTCAAAGACCAGGCCGCACTCGGCCGCCAGCTCGCGCATGGGCTCGGCCATGTTGGACGCGCCAGCAAGGACGACCGACCGTCCTGCCCGCACAAACTCCATCACCGCCGTCGCGTCCACCCCGGCCGCAAGCCGCTCGGTTGCCGGCGCAAACAGGACCAGCTGGTCGAACAGGTACTCGCCAAACTCCACAAGCTTGACCGCCGCATCGTCCGCCCGAGCAAACGTCAGCTCGTAGCCCTTGTCTGTCCCTCGTCGGTCTCATGAGTGTGCTGTGCGGGTATGCCCGGAAGGGGAGCGAGGGGGAGCGATGGCCAAAAAAGTGGTCACAGAGAGGCCTCAGGCAGGGGGCAGGGGAGGGGAAGGGGGAAGAGGGGCAGAGCGACACGTACTCTCAAGGGCAGCAAAGTAGATTGAGAACGACTGCTTTTGCTCCATCGAGTCGAGAAGAACAAGGGCGCGCTTGCCCAGATACGGCGACGACGGCTGCGTCGCAGCGCAGGCCAGAGCCAGGGCCGTCAGTACCACTGCCAGTCGCAGGAGAGTCATAACCGAGTCGGGTGTCGGCACACCCGAGCACGAGCTGACTTGGGGTGATCAGCCTCGCGGGTGAGGAGTACTACGGTAGCGATGGGCCATGGCCAGCAGCCACAAGGCCCATTATCATCACCTCCTCCCTTCATTCTCCTCGTGCTACTTGTTCATTGTGCCACATTCAGGTCATCAACGCCTGCATCTTGGCCTCCTGTGGGACGGCGTGGATGGCCACCCGCCCGTCGCCAGAGACAGAGGCAAAGGTCCAGGCATCACCGCGCGACCAGGCCAGGCCATACACCGAGTCATCGTGCTCTTCGTAGGTCTTTGCCACGTGATCGACGGGGTGCCCGGCGCGCCCAGCCTCGGACGCTTCCCACGCCGACGACGCTGACCAGACCGAATACAGCTTGACGAGGGTGTCGCTTGAGCCCGAGAGCACAAACTGATCGTACGAGTGGTTGTACGCAAGGCCCCACACCCAGTGTGCGTGCTCATGCATTCGAACCACGGGCTCGCCGCCCTTGCGCACATCCCAGAACGCCACACTCCCGTCCGAGTGCCCGCTTGCCAGGCAGTACAACTTGTTCGGGTTAAAGTCGAGCGAAAAGATGCCCGCCCCGCCCTGCGCCGCTGCACCCTCAAGCACAAACGCCTCGCTTTGCGCCCGCACGTCGTAGCCCACAATCCGCGAGCCAATCGCCACTGCGACCTCGTCGCTAGCGTGCGGTGACCGCGCACCACACGTCGCACCGTTGCCATCAGACGGCAGCACATAGCGTGCCACCGCCGCCGCAAGCCCGTCGCGATCAAGAGTCGCCAGCGCTACGCCGCGCCGACACACCACCGCCGCAGACGAGTCGGTCACATCGAGGGCAGAGATCAGGACGTCGACAACGGGACCGAGCTCTGTCCCAGGCCCACCCGGAAGGCTCCCGGTCTGCTCGAGCTGCGGAAGCGCCGAGGGCGAGGTGGGCGAGGGCAGCTGCAGCGCAGCATCACCATCACCATCACCGGCTCCAAAGGCCGGAAGATCCGACATGGAGTACACAAGGCCGCGTCCCGTCGCACCAGGCTCGCCGGCATCACGCACCACAGCTGCCAGCAAGTGGGCATGACCCGGATGCGAGGCGAGGCGCCAGACCTCTGCGCCATCCGGCACGGTATAAGCCGTCTCTACCCCTGTAGTCCCGTTCTCTGGCACGTAGTGGACGAGATGGACCGCATTTGCCGCAGTTGCCGGCGAGCAGGTGCCCACCGCCCACACATGGGCCTCAGCCCCTTCGTCGCCACCGAGCGGAGTCAGGCACCGGGTCTGGATGGCAAGCAAGGAGGTAAACGTAGGTGAGAGTGGGTCTGTAGCACATGGAGAGAAGGGGGAGGGAGTGCCCTTGTCACTGCTTCTGTCCCTGTCCCTATCCCCCACCACCACCACCACCACCCCCCCACCCCACCACACACACACACCACCACCACCGCCACCCCCACCCCTACCCCCACCCCCCACACCCGCTATACCTATGCACATACGGTGTTGTTGATTCCATGGATGACGCTCTCATCACCAGCCTCCATCCCTACCTTGCGCCCCACACAGAGGAGTGCTCCAGCTCGGGCTTCCGCGCCTGCTCCTGCCAGTGCTCTACCGTGGAGGTAGAAGTACCTCGCGACTATGGCGAGTGGCTGCGGCTGATGGTTCTTCATAAAGTCTCGGATACCACTCGACAGCATCTAGCCTGCATAGCATCCATCCGCTGACGCTACTCTCGTTGTTGGTCATGATGAAGATATCGATGCCGACGTACCCGCCCGTGGATCACGCGTGCGGGAAGCGACAAGTCATCCTCGCGAGGCCCAATCGGTCGACGAGTACGGCGAGGTTGGACCCCGGGCAGATGACGGTGGCGACGCCGAGGCAGCGCGCTCGCACAAGAGACAGATCTGCTTCAGCCGCTCTTCCCAGTTGGAGACAAACCGCGTGCCGTGGTGGAAGATCTGCGCAAAGAGGTCGGCGCGGATAGCAATCTGCCGCACAAGCATAGCCAACACAGGCTCGGTGAGGATGAGATGCGTTCCTGTGTCGCGCGCCAGGTGCTCCATCCCAGGCTTGACCTTAACCAAGACAAGGTACTCAGACTCAAGCGGCGAGATGACAATGTGCACAAAGTTGAACTGCCCAGGAATGGTCGACGCCGTGAACGGGTGCTCCGACTCGTTGAAGACAATGGTGACGTAGTCGTTGCCGATGTGCCGTTTCTTGTTCTGAAACTGTGAGTACGCGCCGCCCATGTTGGGCATGAGCGTTGTGGTGTGGAAGACCACAAAAGAGAGCTCGTCCTTCCAGTACAGCGCGGTCTCGCCATCAATGGACTCGTCGGACCGATCCAACCCGCCGGTGTAGGCTATCGCGCCGCGGAGCGACATGAAAGAGCCCAGCGACTGCAGGAACCGCATGTACCGTGTTGATCCCGTGGTGTTGCCCAGAATGTCCGCCTCGCGGAACTGCCCAGGCGCCACGTACAGCAGGCCGATCTTGTGCGTGTTGACCGTTGGCACAAGGTCGAGCAAGCCCAGCGCACGCTGCATGGCCTCAGAGTCTGGGAGCCGGATCATCGACGGCGCATCCATGCCTGGCAGGCCCTCGCGGAGCTGGCTGAACAGAAAGTGCGGAAATGAGCCGCCACCGCCAAGCTCAGCCTCGGGCCATACAGCCTCCCCCTCGAGCCCGCTCGATGCATGCCGCCCGGGCGTCGCCCGCGAGTTCGACCGCGACCGCGACGAGCCCGCACGGGGCGAGTGTGGCGCCGAACCGTGCTCAGGCGTCCCCCATCCCGACGATGACCCCAGTCCAAGCTCAGGGTGCCGCAAATCCTCCCACGGTCCCATCACTCCGGTCCCCGACTGCACAATGTCCGGGAGAGAATACGACCGGCTCAACAGCGACATGCCATCTTCGGTCACCACGTCTGCCAGCGACGTGTCATCCGCAGCCATAAACGCTGCAACTCCGCCTGCTCCGGCTTGCATCATGATCTTGTCTATGACGGCATCATCGTCATCGTCGTCATCTTCGTCGTCGTCATCTTCGTCGTCGATATCGTGGTCGGCGTCGGCGACTCTCGGTTCAGCACCAACAGCGCTCTTCATCGACGGCGGATGCGGTGTGCTAGTTGACGACGGCGACTGCACCGGCGTTTTCCGAATGGCGCTGGCGCCACCGGCCCGTGACGCGTGTAACTTCATCTGCTCGTCTAACGAGAGGAGCGACGACGCCGAGCCGCCGCCATGCCACGACTGGTTCGACGAGACCGACGACGAGATAGCGACCGGCGAGCGCGCTGTCGTCACCGACCCCACGCCCAAGCTGTGACTCTCGCCCATGAACGCTGGCGACGGCTTGAGCTCGCCAGCCTCGCCCTTGTCATCGTCGCCACCGTACGCTGGCAGTGGCATCATCCGCGAGTAAATCGATTCTTCGGACTGCGACGCTGGCTTGTTGCGCCGCGGCGGCGGCGGCCGCTGCTTCACCCGGCCAACCACGGGAAGACTGCTGATCTCGCTCTTGCCCATCTGTTCGGCGCCAGGCATGGTCGGATAGTCGTGCTCGTACGCCAGCTCCCTCGACCGCGTCTCGACTTCCCGCCCGTTGGCGTGTGCACCTACACCATCTTTGTAGTCGGGCACGTCAGCGCGGAGCTCGTCCATCAGCTGCAACACAATGGCCTTGGTCACAAACGACCCGTCGCTCGGCGACGCCGCCATCGGAGGTGTAACCGAGCCTGGCATGACCCGACTCGCCCGGATGCTGCTCTCAGCGAGAACTCCCATGTCTGGCGCAGAGAGCGACGGGACAAGCGAGCTCGACGAGCCGGGGAGCTCACCACCCAAAAGACCACCGCTCGACGTCGACCGCGGCGGCGGCGGCGGCGCGTCCATCCCGAGCGTGTCAAGAACTTCAGACTCAAGCTTGAGAAGCCAGGCAAAAGTCCCGGTTGGCCGGCGGAGCATGATGTGGGACCATCTGGTGGCACCAACGGTGACAGTCAAGATCGCTGTCCCGTGCAACCACGAAGTGGTCGTCGTGTCGTCACCCAGCCATGCGCGGAAGGCCGACGGTGGACCACTCGACCGATTCCGCGAGAGTGCCACGGACGAGCCCGGAAACGGCTCCAGAGAGCCGTGTGTTGCCCGCAGCAGCATGTCCATCACAAGCAGGGCAGCACGACTCTCCATGGCTGCGTCCACCAGCGCCAGGTCGCCCAAATCCGGCGTGGGCGACGCTCGGATCGAGCTGCTCATTCGGGTCGGCGCCGGAGACGCGCGCCCCGACGACTTGGTGCCATCGCCCGACGAGCCGCCGGTATCCGATGCGCCGCGCGAGTTTCTGCTTCCGGAGCGCCCAGAGCCCGACTTGCGCGACTTTCGGCGGCTCCAAAGTTACCCTTTCGTGAGCCCGTCCGGCCGTTGCCGGAGGCGCCTGGCGCTGCCGTCGAACCAAACTCACCGCTACGCGGCGACTCTTCTCCCGACGATGCTGTCGCGATGTTGGCGGCGGCAGCAGCCGCAACTGCCGATGATGCCGGCGACAAAACAGGTGGCGAGGTTGCCGAACGCGAGCCAGAGAGCCGCCGCGGGTGGACCAGCCGCGGCGGGATCGACGAGTCCGGAGAGTCCGAGTCGTACGACCGTGGTGGCGGCGAGCGCGGAATCGGCACCAGCGCGGAACCAGCTGCCCTTGCGCTCTGTGGCGAGCGGCGGAACATGCTCGCCGGCCCATCGCCCGCTGCAGCCGCAATCGCCCGCCCAAACTTGTGCATAAAGAACGGGAGGTAGCGAACGCGGTCAGTGACGTTGAGAACATGGAACCAGGCGGCAATGGTCCGGTGTGCAAAGGCCATGCAGTACTTGAGCGGCGAGGTGTCACCAATGTGAGCGAGAATGGTGAGGACTCGGACCACGTCCTTGTGCCGCATTGCCTTGATGAGCAGCCGGTAGTGGGTGAGCGACCAAAACAGGTCAAGTACCAGTGTCTCGGAGAACGCCGAAGCATCGTTCGAGTGCGAGCGGAAGAGGAGATAGATAACGCGCCGGAGATGAACAGCGACCTCGACCGGAAACTCAGCAGCAGCAATTGTGAATGCCCGAAGCGCCGGGTTCCGCGTCGCCGGCTCGCCAGTGAGCAGGTGAACTACTGTGGCGACAAGGCCCGATGCCACAGGCTCGGCAAGACGGTCCTTGTATCCCATGAGAAGGATGAGGGCCTGCAACGCGGTTCGCAACAGACTCTTGGTTCGGCTGGCAACGGCCGACGGTGGGCCGTGGAGCACAACAGATGAGACGAGACTCCCGCGGACAAGCGCGTCGGAGAGAAAGACGGCGAGCTTGGCGACGTCGACAGAGACGCAGACAAACTTGTTCTCGAGCCAGTTGATTAGACCCGAGAGCGCAGTAGAAAACAAAGCCTGGTCGGTCTCGCTCGCCACTAGATCAAGAAGTACATCGTACACCGCGGACATAGGGAAGAGGACGGCGCCGGTGTCGCGTGAACGGGTGGCGGAGACGGTGAACTGCGGGCACCGAGTGTTGAGCCACATCAGCTCGTAGGCGGCGTTCGACGACAGCGAGAGGAGGCAGGTGAGGATTTCGAGCCGAAGTGGCGCCAGCGCTGGTGCTGCATGACTGGGTGAGAGCATGCCGAGCATGACGTCCACGACCATGAGTCCCGACTTTGTCTCGCCATTGGTCACATGGTCACCAAGGACAGTAACCAGGCCCGAAACAGCCTCGGGAACTACGCCAGCCGCGGCCACGCTCGCCATCAGCGAGATGAGCGCCTGGGTGCACGCCAGCGGAATGGTTGGCGACGCAGCCTGAGTCACAGCAAAGTTGAGTGCCGCAGTTCCGATTCCTGTGTCGGCATCGACGAGGAGGACACCAAGCGCAGGCACGATGACCGTGTTGAGGAGCTCGACAAGATCATGCGCAGTGAAGGTGGCCGAGTAAACCTCAATAAGTATGTCTAGAAGCTTGGAGCGAACAGCAACACGGAGGTCGTGGACAAAGAGCGAAGTGAACGCCCCAAGGTCGTCTAGCCACGTCGGGCTGCCCGGCTGAAAGTGGTGCGAGGCCATCCGCAGCCGCATGACAGCAAGGACATCGACGGCCGGCTGAAGCGCGGCGTAGCTCTCGAGAACAGTGATGAGCTTGTTAGTCTCACCGTGAAACTTGCTCGCTTCGAGCAGGCGATGGAGCATGTGGAGGCACTGGACGACGGTATCGCGGAGCGAGGTCTTTCCGGTGTAATCCAGGAACGGATCGAGACCGCCAAGGATGTCGAGGATGAACGGCCACTCAATCCGCAGCTGATGACCGTACTTTTTGATGAGCCGGTGCATCGAGAGTGCGATCTCATATGCGATAATGTTGTGGTTCGGCTCGCATAGGACAGACATGGCGTGGGCAATAGCAGGAAGGATGACAACGTACGAGACGTGGGCGGTGAGGACCCGCTGCTTGCCCCATGATGCCATAGAGATGAAGAATAGCGCGCCACGGATGAGCCCGATGTCGGCGTCGGGGAAGCCTGGCTCGACGTCGCCAACAAGCGACTGCAGGGCATACATGGCAGTCTGGCCAAGATACGACTTGAGCATGCTCTGCATAACTTCCCATGAGTGAGTGGCAAAGACGTTGATGTTGACGATGCGGCAGAGCGCTGCGGTGTAGTCAGGCATGCAGGTCATGGGCACAGTCCCGTAGCGCACAAGCACATCAAGCGCATCAAGGCACCCACCAACCACCTCGGCAGAGTCGGTGACGTTGGCGATGGCGCAGACAGACTTGACCAGCGGCGAGACTTCGGCCTCGGCGCGAAACACAATGTTGTTGTACTTGACTAGCCGGGCGACAAAGGCGATGAGGCGGACGACCCACGCCTCGTCGGCGGTACTCTCGCCGAGCGAGTCGCGAGCGAGTTCGAGCCAGCTCAACAACAGCGGCGGAAGTGTGTAGTCGAGGCCGCAGAGATGGCGACCGTCTGCGGTGAGCGCCACGAGAAGATCAAGGGCGGAAGTCCGGGCTTCCGACGAGCCGCGCGGGCTGCCCTTTGGGTCGACGCCGGCCGAGTCAGAGACAAAGGCAAGGACACGTGGGGCGAGGATGTGTGACCGGGCAGTCTGGTTTGCCAGAGTCGCAGCAGCAAGCGCAGCTGCGGCAGGGACCACCGCCGAGACGCCAGCACTCAGCATGCCGGATGCCAGCTCCCACAGCGCCGTAGGCAGTGGCGCAGGCAGGCGGAACCGCGTCGCGGCCTGGGCGAGGAGATCAAGGGCGGCCACGGCGTCGTCTCGCGAGAGCGAGGCAGTCGGTGACACCAAGAGCCGCACCGCCTCGCGGACGACAATAGCCACCGGGCTCGGGTCGAGCAGTGGTGGACTGGTTGGCGCCAGTACGCTCCTGAGCCTTTTTATGGCTTGGGTGGCGCTCATTTCCCTTGTGCGTGAGGTGGTTGGAGTGGGGAGGAGGTCGAGTTTGGGCGATCAAGTGTCACCGCGACGGGCTCGAGGCTAGTTCTGGTGATTGTAATGTAAGACTCACGCTACATCACGCCATCACGCCAACCACGACACGGACAGATTCGAGCCACAGTGAGACAACGTTGGAGACAGAGTTGATAGGTGATGTTGATGCGCGATGCGCGACGTTCAAAGGCATCGCGGATGGCCATGAGGAGTGGTACCTTGCCGAACTTGTGGTCAAACTCGTAGTCAACCGAGCCAGTCGGGTATGTGATGGGAACTCGGATGAGGAGAGGCGGAAGGTGGATGTTGGTGATCTCAGCCCGGACCCAGAGAGCAACAAAGGCGGCGGCACGGCCGGTGCTATGGGCGGGAACGAGGCGGACGCCAAGCGCAGACTCGAGGGTGTCGATCTCGGTCTTGAGCGACGGATTGGCCAGGGCTAGGTCGGCACGAGAGGTGGCGACCGCCGGCAGGGGTGGAGCCGGGGCGGTGTGACTAGGAGGTGCGAGTCTGAGTGAGTGGGCTGGAGTCGAAGAAGTCGGGGCTGCGGGTGCTGAAAACGCAGCGGCAGCGCCACCCATGGCATGGATGGCCGACGGGCGCGGAGTCTCGGGGGAAGGGTGATCGTCGGCTGGGAGGAGATAGTGTGAGCCTTGAGCAAACCAAGACGAAAAGCTGGTGACAGCATCGAGTCTGTGGCCGATGGCCGGGCGGCTTCGACGTCGCGGGCAAGGTCGGCGTACGAGACATGCGCGCCCGAGTTGTAGGCCTGGCGTTTGGCAGGGCGGGTAAGAAAGGCGTTGTCGAGAGCAGAGACACGTTCGCGTTTGGAGCCAACACGATGGGCAGGCGGGGGACGAGCCAGCGCAGTACTAGGAAGATGAGACGATGACCACCACAAAGCCTTTGGGCGGCTCGAGGCGGGGTCGTCCGAGCGTTCCGCGGCGGGCGCGTTGGGTCGGTTGTGCGGGGACATGCGCTGCAGCGGTGGTGAAGTCGGCGAGGAGAGGGCTGAGGCCAGACTCGAGTCGACTGGCACATCACTAGATGAGGTGAGAAAGCCAGCCTCAAGTGAGCGGAGCGAGTCGCAGAGGGTGACGCTAGCCGAGCTGATGGCCGGAAGGTGCGAGGGGTTATTGAGGAGATGAGCCAGAGCGACGGTAGGAAGGACTGATGGCGACGATGTCGTGACTGCAGCGTCGCGGGTTGACTCGGCAGTTTTGGGCGGCTTGCCAGCCGTGGGAGGAGAAGGGTTCTTGCCCGCAGAACCACCGGAGCTGGCTGCCGTAGTGGCGGCGGACGACGCCTGCACTGGTGCAGGTGATGATGCTGATGAAGCGGCGGCCGTCAGCTGGGCAGGGGCGGCCGGCGGATTGGCCGAGATCGAGGCACTTGTACGAGACTTGCTCCGCTCGATGCTGCGGGCGAGACGGCGCTCCGAGTTGATGCGGCGGTTCGAGTCGACGTGGGCACCGCTGGAGGTCGATCCGCCGAACACGTTGTGGTAGGCATGAAAGTAGGTATCGACGGCGGTTTTCAGCGAAGCCTTGGCATGAGCTTTTGCAGTGCTGTCCAAGCCAGAGCTGCGGTAGGCGTTGTGGGCGGTTTTGATACTGCTGATGTAGGGGCCAAGGCGGGCGGACTGTTCGGGCGTCAGAGTACTCGAGGTAGCGGAAATGATGGTCAGCTTGATGTTCAAGGCGCCTTCGGTGACCTTTGAGTAGTACTGGCGGACGTTACGGGTGTATTGCTCTGGCGATGACGAATCTCTCAGGAGTGCCTTCTCCTTAACCATGGCGTCGTCCTTGGCCTTCTTCTCCAGCTGCTCCCTGGTCAGACACGGCTGCTTCTTCAAGCTCAACAACTTGTTCTTGGCCCCTGCAAAGTCGTGCAGTGCCCTAAAGATGGTCTGGATAGCCTGCTGTCGAATGTGCTTGCTCTTCGCGACCGGCATGGTGTGCCACCAGTAGTTGGCTGACATGGAGTGGTGTGTGTGGGGTTGTGTGGTTGTGTGGTTGTGTGGGGAGTTGGGTGCTGTGGTCAGCCTGTGTGCTGTGGTCACGGTGAGTGAGTGTGAGTGTGTGAGTGAGTGTGCCAGTGCACCAGTGTACCCTTTGAGCACGAGTGTGACGGCGGGTGGTTTGGTTGGTGGCGGTCCAGACCACACACACACACAGACAGACACCGACAATCGAATTGGATCGTCTTTCGAGTTGAGCTGGCCTTGCCCCACTGCTTGTCACCACACCCCTCCTCTACCTCCCCCCCCCCCCG